CTCGCCCATAGAATGTCGGAGATAGGCACCGGCACCACAGAGACACTGACAAGGACTAAGCGGGGGGAGATGGATGGATTGCCAGCTGTTAAAATCCGTATCTGCAAATTTTCAATCAGCTATAACTGTTTGATCGGTGGATCTTTACCAATACTCCGGTCTCAGTCATGCATCAGCTGATGGTTAGAGAACTTTAGATCGGCTAAAAAGGCAGCTGATCTTCTCTTACAAGAGCTGTTAAAGTACTCTAAAGCAGTGAATCCCCTCCATGTTTGTCAGTGCTGTGATAACGACGTTACTAAATTAGATTGAAAGCAGCTGCGTGAGGCATCACATGGCAAGGAACAAAATGAGATGATTTTTATTACTAAATTCAATTACAAGCATACTGTACGGATGATCACCAGACGACACTTTAACGAAGCCCACGAGCCCTAAAAATCCATTTGGATCATTCTTCAGATGAACTTTAAAAACCAGTCTCAAGTGGTTTTACTGTACTTAGAATTGACAGACCTGTTATGAGCCGCTTCACCCCAACTACCACTTGAGTAAAACCGGAGCAAAACCTCAGATCTGGCTTCCGAGGCCATTAAGGAAGGATGGGATACGTTTTTTTTTTTCCTGTTTCTCCATCTGAGGTACAGGCGTTTGCATCTGTTGGCCTCTGACCACAAATCTCTCTTCATCTCTGCCTCTAGCTTTCCTCTAAACATGACCAACAGAGTCTGGGATTGTGTAAAGTGGAGCTGGGAAGATGAAAGGCTCCCGAAAGCTCTTCACGGTGGAACTGAGCAGAAAATAAGCAGCGGCTAAGTCCTCCTATAAACAAACGCACAGTGAAGTCAGGAACTCAAGCGAACAGGGCACACTCGACCCAACGGTCCCCTGAGAGATCGACACACATCCACAGACCCACATTACAGATTCCTCTTTGATTCATTGTGTACATAAGATAAGTCTCATAAGAAGGAGAATTTAACTGGAAATAAAATGTATGCTCTTTATATTCATAAATACCACATCATGAGAGAAATCTCTAAAAATCCTTTAGCCATTTAGTTATGTTTTTCTGCAGCTGTATCAAATCTTCTGTGCTGAATTTTTAAGTTAGCTTTATATAATTTGACCATTGACTGTAAATCCCCTAAAGGACTCCTGTTTTCTAAAGATTCCCTAATGTATTAAAAAAAATATTTTGCATGAAATTTGGAAAATGGGACATTTTTGACTAAAGTTCTAGATGCCCAAAAAGGCTGAATACACCTTATAAGATATACCCCATCATTCAGATGTGTAAGGTAAATATAAAAAGAAAACCTTTAGGTTCAACAAAACAGCTAAAACCTATTAGATGTGTCTCTATTGTACGGCAGGAAGCAGAGAGCGGTGTTGTCCCTCTGATACTTTTTCATGTTGGTTTTCTCTTTTGGTTAGATTTTGTTTTCATGTTTAAAATCATAGAAAGCTGTGCTTTATATTTTGAGTCTAAATTTATTTTAGGTTAGATAAAAACTAATTGTATGACAATCTGACAGCGTCTGCTAGACCTTAATCACTACAGGATGCAGCGATTTAGTTTGATTTTAAGTTGTGAGATCATTTATTATACACCAAGTATTTTTTACCATGTGAAAAACTAGTTTGAAGATTACTCTATCGATAGCTTTATCTAGCAAAAACAATTATTGTTCATTCTGTGATTTTAAAAAAAGGGGGATAAGGCCTAGTTTTATTATAAATTAAGAAACTTAAAATGAACAGCTGAAAAAAACTCACATTGTAAAAGAAAACTAGCATTGTAGCACAGCTAGCAGCTAAAGGAAGTTTGAAAGACTGAATCTGAGCAGGTTATGATCGACTTAAATGCATTTTTCCAGTGTCAAAATCAATTTGGGGTATAATTGTATCCCTTATATAACTGTCTCCTTGAACCCAAGTCGGCCTCGGCAGATGGCCCCTCACACTGAGCCTGGTTCCGCTGGAGGTTTCTTCCTGTTAAAAGGGAGTTTTTCCTCTCCACTGTCACTACAAGCACGCTTAGTGTCAGGGATTGTATTTGAGTCAATGAGTCAGTGCAATCAGCTGGTTTTCCTTAGATAGAAAACTTTGACTGGATGATCTGGTGAACGTTAAAGTGTCTTGAGATGACTTGTTGTGAACTGGCGCTATATAAATAAACTGAATTGAATTGAATTATTGTATTGGCTGTTTAGCAATGGTGTCACTTTCTGGCTTGAAGACTTCAGTTTAAGCCAATGTTAACCATCACAGGATGTTTGAAAAGCAGGAGCTAACAAAATCCCATTAGATGCTGCTTTAAAAGGTGTTTCTGGGCAGTCTTTAATTTGTGCTGCTTGTTAAGCACCTAGACAGGTAGTAATTGTACTCTGGTGGTTTAGGTTTTTTTAAAAATATTGTTGCTGCTAACAACACCGCTTTAATGTTAGAGGTTATTAGCCATGACAAGTTTTTGAAGGGCGCACAAGACATCAAAAATCAAGACAATCTGCTAACTTCATATGTGAAGGGATGTTATTTTCTTAATGCCAATAAAAGTATGAGATTATTATGTTAAACTGAGATAAGAATACCCTGGCTCTCATCAGATACAAGAAACTTTAGTGGGGATAAAAGGACAGGGGAGAAAAAAAAAGACAGAGGAAAGGAAGCTGGAGGCTGTTTGCAAGGCCTATGAGACCCAAGTCCGGATATGGCTTGGATATGGAAGAGAGGCTCTGTTACGTCCCTCCTGGCTACGGACAAACACACATACAAATCCACACAAACACATGGACAACTGAAAAATCCCTATGTTTAACATCCAGCTGGGTCTGACTGTTTAAAATAAAAAGGAAACATTGAGTTTGAGTTGTATGGATCATTTATACTTTGAAATAATGTATGATGTTAAACAACTCTGTTCTGGGATTCATTATAGGGGTATCGGCAGCGTGTAGGAGATGACATTTTAATAAAGCAACATGACAAGTCTTTCAGTGTCCTATTTCATCCTCTCATGCTGGTGGCAAAGAATGAACCAATGCAGTAAAAGCCTGTTTCTGTCATAACACATAAAACTACAGGTTAACTTTCAGACTAATGACTTCATCTGGTTGTTGCTAAATATTAATTTTTTTCTGGGCTGTGATTTCCTGAAAAGCCCCCCCCTTTCTTTTTCTTCATGAGTTGACTTGATTGTTTCTTGTGAAACAATCATTTGTAAGACTCTACAAATAAATAACAGCAGTCTATTGAAGTATTACATTAGTTTGAGAAATTCAAGAACAGATTTTTTTTATTTCTACGGCACATCTTTTCTTCTATAAGTAAATTACTTCAGGGTCTTATTTGTAATAAGTATTATGACACGCTGTGACTCACATCAACTTCTAGACCACTGTTTTTCAACCCTGGTCCTCAAGGCACCCTGCTCTGCAGGTTTTGGATGTTTCTGATGTTCAGCACACCTGATTCAGATGATTGCAGTTCAGCAAAGCCTGATAATCTGCTATCAATTGATAACAGGTGTGTGAAAGCTGGGAAACATCTAAAACATGCAGGGCAGGGTGCCTTGAGGACCAGGATTGAAAAACACTGTTCTAGACCATGCATCCCCAAACTCAGTCCTGGAGGGCCGCTGTCCTGCAGGTTTTAGAGGTTTCCCTGCTCCAGCACAGCTGATTTACATTTATAGTTGATTAACAGGCTTTTGCTTAACTGCAATCATCAGAATCAGCTGTGCTAAAGCAGAGAACCCTCTAAAACCTGCAGGACAGCGGCCTTCGAGGACCGACTTTGGGGGTGCCTGTCCTAGACAGTGTTTTCTGTGGTTTATAATAAGAGCAAATGTGCAAATAAAAAGCACCTTGGTAAATATGTGAAAAATCTCAAAGTTGTCCTTTATTGTCCGATATGTTCCCCTATAGTACAATTCAACTACAAATGTGTGTAAATTTCTTCACTGGTAGAAAAAAGCCCAGTATGAAATAGTCAGGGGATGTTATTTATTTATCTATTTTTTTAAATCAAATCAATAATGAAATCTTTGTGATCCCTAAAAATGCCAATAAAAAACACGTCAGAAACCTTTATTGAAAATAGCTAGTTAATCGTTTTCATTTGATCATTATGTCTAATGATGAACTGGTTCCCGTTTTCCTTCAGTATAGATATCATGACTTAGATGCCCATTTCTTTTTTTTAAGCAAGTCTTTCTCATGGTAAAGAGAGGGTAAGAATTATGTCAATTTTGACAAGGAAATGGTAAAATGAAAATAAAAAAAATGTTTGTTTTTGTCCTTTTGGTTGCTCCCTTATTCAGGGGTTGCCATAGCGAGTATGTCTAAATTAAACACAGACTTGAAAAAGTTTTTACACCACTTAGCCATAGGAACCGACTTTAACAAATGTATTCCTCTACGTCAGTTACTTGCTTAAATTAACTGGATGTTTGTTGTCCTGTGTGCAAATAAAAATAAAAGCAAAAACATAACAAAGGTTGAAATAATGTATTGCAACCTAACTTTTCGATTCTAGGGGTAAGATTTACCTTTATAATTTTTGAAAGGCAATAGTACACCCTAGAATGTTTTTTTAATGTGTATCTGTATCAACTTTCCAAGCTGACAGGGTCCAGCTGAAATGATCATAGGGGCATAAAATGTTTGGACACACCGGACGCACAGTTTGGAGATACCTGGTTTATAACAACTGTTTACAAGCTATGAGGTAGTTTGATAAGAAAGAGAAAAAAAAGCCTTTTCTGTCTTTACATTAGAAATGTAAACCAGTAAAGCTTGCCGTATGTTACTGAAAATTTACAGAAGCTGTTGGCTGTGTTTATATGGGATAAAGGGTCCCACTACGGGTGGGATTGGTTTGGAATAAAATTGTTTTTCATGATTTCTAAAGAAAAATCAGTTGTTTCTTTTTTATCCTGTCTTACTAAATCTTATTTATTTTTAATGCACAATAAACTTTGAATATTTCCTCCTTACCGGCAACAGATTACAGCTTTGCAGGACAGAGCCAAGTCGAGAAAGGCCTGGCGGAGCTCGAATGACAGGGCATATTTAAGAGTTTGGCCATCCATGATCAGGGCAAGCTCATTTTCTTTTCCCAGAGAGTCACCCAGGGAGGAACAGTGAGCGGTGAGGGTGGCACGAGTGGCCTGCAGGAAGACAAACAGAGGAAAAGGTATCGGTTTAATTTCTTAAAATTAACAAGAGCCTATCCTAAATCAGGAGAAAAAACATGTACATCTTGCAAGATTACATCAGGAAATGCTGTTGGCATCAGAATGCAAAACCTCTAACCAGAAATCTTGCCTCTAACTCTCTGAAATCTCTAAATCCAATAAAAATGTTTCTTCCTTTTCGGCTGTGAGGCAACAGATGTTTCAAGCCACCATATTGTTCTATTTCAGGTTTCTTTTGTTGTTGTTTTTTTTTTAATGTGGACATTGTTATCTTACAAAGTGGTGACAGCGTAAATCATGCACATCAAAACACACAAGCTGGCTTGCTGAAAGGTTAAAGCAACCAGCAGGTAAATGGAAGACATGTGTGCTTGGTAGCATGGTTGCTCTGCCGGCTTTCATCTGAGGAAACAATTTGCTTCTGTGTAACCCCAAAACAATTAAAGAAGCCAATATAAAGTTCACAGTTGTTCCTGGGATCCCAACACAGCAAGCTGATGCTGCCATATCCTGAAGGCGCGTTTAAATCCGGGCTGTAAAAAGCCAAAATCTTTCCTTCATGGGCTGCAGCACATGACAGCAAGAGAAAAATGAAAGCGGCGTCTAAGTTGATGAGGGAAATCTAGCTTAGAAATGTTACAGCAAAGGATGTATGGGGGGAGGGGGATGTGTGGAAAGCCAGGTCGCCTGCAGCGCAGTAGTTTGGGGCTGTTTTGATTGAGCTCTTGATAATAGAGGAACAGGATTAATAGAGAAAACAAACATCCAGCAGAGGTGTAATGAATTCCATGTGGAAACAGCAGACATGCTACAAACCTGACCACCACCGTCCTCCTTCCCCCACAAACACACACACACCCACACACACCTGAATGAGCCATTTCCGCTTAAAGACATCCTTACTTGCTTTGGAAATCTTTTGGACTTCAAACATAATCCAACTGATTAAAGAGAAACTAAGATTAAAAAGATAAATTGAGGTGAAAATAAGTTTAAAAAAATACCCGGCCAAAGAGCAGGAACTAAAATGTTTTTCCCAACAAAATGTTCAGATACTAAATCAGCAAACAGCTGGATAATTAGACCTGCTTTGATTTTTGAGACCATTGAATAACACAGTTAAAACGCATTTTATCCCTAAAAGTAGTGCCTTGCAAAAGAAGTTAATCCCCCTTGATCTACCTTTGAATTTAGCCCCCTCACCTTAAATAAAATGCAACCATCTCCCTATAGACATACCTCATTTGTAAATAAGCTCTTTCTGTATTAAACTCACAACTAATCCAGGCATGAAACTTAAAAGTATTGGGAAATCCAGGGAAGACAGCAGAACAGTCGAGCTGCAGAAGCTTAAAGAAGGCTTGGTTTCTAGAAAATCTGAAACCTTGAACATCTAACTGAACTTTGTTTAATCCACCATCTAAAAAATGAAACAAACACAGCACGACTACGGTATACATCCACCAATCAGGAACGTCCACCTATACTTTAATGACTGTCTAAGCAAGAAGAGCAGGAGAGAGAAGCAGCGAAGAGGTTATTAACTCTAGCAAGGATGAGAAAAGATGCATCAGGTATTGGAGAGAACAGCTGTACAAATCTGAGCTTTTTAAAAATGTAGCAAGGAGAAAGTCTTTGCTAAAAGGCTATAGGAGGTCCCTAATTCAGTTTGAACAGAACTAAAGGCTAATTTACCCATAAAGACAAAGGATTGTAAGGACAATAAAACTATAAATACAAAAAGTTACACCTTTTCACACTAACAATTTGAGGCTGCTTTCATCTACCATAAAAAGCATTTTCCCATTGAGGGTATCATAGTCAAAGACCATACCAAAACCAAATTACTCAAATTTGACTTAAAACTTGATTCTAAAAGACTCTATCCCTATAATCCGACATAATCTTATAATCTACATGTTAAAACAAAGGCTAGCACCCATAATAGTTCTACTAAGTTTAAACATACAGGGAAGGGGATTCTAAAAATGTTTTAAAATTAAATTAGTTTATTTATTTATTTATTTAATTTGGTAAAGTATTTTTTCCTTCTTTTAACGCCATACTTCATGTTAATCTATGAAAAATAATACAATTAATTTACTCTCTAAAGAAAGCAACTATTTATTGAAGATTATGAGTAGAACTGGTTCTAATCTGACCTGAGAGGAATCACCAGCCCTTAGAAGTGACCCTTGTACCTGCATATCATGCAGAAGACACGCATGAGTCAAATGCAGCAGTAGAAACAAAGCAACTGCTCTTCTTTTTGGAAAATAGTGATGCACATGTGCATTCCCTCCACTCACAAACACAGATACAAATCCCCCCCCCCTGCCCCCCTTAAAAAATCCCCGTCTTGTTTTCTCAGCTCGGGGCTGTGTGTTTTTCCTTTGAATGCAGGAATTCCTGTTTGGCTTCACCTTTTTCCCCCAAAACAAGGAAGAAAAGAACCAAAAACATTATAATAGGATAAAGAAGATTAAAGCCTGTCAGGCTCAAAACCTTAGTGCCCATCAGCATTTCCAGTGTGCTCCGAATTTGGTCCTGATTAGCGAGAACGTTTCCTTCCATCTCATTTCATTAGCTAATAACATTTGCCGTGCTTTAAAGAACAATAGCTCATAAAGAAGCGACACAGAGGAGCAGAATATGTAGCAGCTGCAAGAGCCTAATGCAGCACTGTAACCTGTCACAGCAGGTTCAGGCAAAGCTTGAACGGCAGTTAAGATAACCCAGGATAATAACCAGGATAAACCTCCACAGAGCCACAAGGATTAAACAGTTAACTCCAGTTTGAACAATGGTTGGCTTTTCCAGCCACACACCAAGTCCAGACTTTACCGGCTAAAGGAAACTGTCTAAACATGAAGAATGGCTCACAACGGTCCACTGTGGTCTGTTAATACTTAAACAAAAAAAAGCCGACACAAGAAAGAAAAGGTCTCCTTTCTCACGCCAAATTACCTTCTATTTCTGGAAACTATGTAGGAAAAAAAAAAGTGCATGCCTTATTCTTTAATTGCAACATGCCTGATCTCATTAGCAGACATTTCTGGTTCCAAACTAAATGTTTGCGTTTCATATGCAACAGGTCTGAAAGTAGGCAGAGACTGGTAAGAACACAGACAAAAACACTGGCAGACAATTAGCATATAGCATCGCAAGGACCAGACTGCATGAACATTTCTTAGGTTTATATTTGGATCAGAAAGTGGGTGGTGCATGTAGGCAAACTGATGTATGCCAGGCCACTCTCTATTATTGCATTTTGAACAGAAAAAGAAACAAATTCAAGCCCTAAATCCTAAAAAAAGGTGGGTAGAGATCCAAAAACAATGAAGTAGGAGTAGCACTACTTTAACATGTTTTTTACTTGAGTAAAAGTAGAAAGGTAGTCATCCAGGAAATTATTAAAGAGTAAAGGAGTATTTTTTTTAAATATCCACTCAAGTACTGAGTAAATGTTGGTTCAGAGGATCTAATTTTAATGTTTAAAATAATGCAATCAGTGCAAATCAGTGTATTTCAAGGTATAAAACAACATAAAAATTCAAATAAATAACATAAAATAACAAATTCAGGCAAAAGCAACACTCGTAATAATATTTTTGTCAGTGTAAACTTAAAGAACAAAAAAACAGCAGGAAATACATAAAAGAAATGATAAAAAACTTCCATTGACAATCTGATCTGATTATCTCTCCCTGATTTCCAAAGTTACTGTTGGTGGGTTAAGTAACTAGAAATTTTACTCAAGGGTAGTGATACTCAAACAAGAATATTTTTCAAATCAAAAACTACTCCTTAAGAACATTTTTCCTCTCTAACCCTAACTAATATTAACTGGTTACTACCAACCTCTGATCCTAAAAAAATAAAGGATTAGGGGTTTTCATTTGTAAATCATGTAACAATAAAATTGAAAAATTACACTGAAGTCAGCATAATAAAAAAAACCCTTATACATTTTCCCATACTACCTTGAGTACCATCCCATTTCTAACCAAAAGGATAGACATGGTAGTTCCAGGGTGGATTTTCAGATGGCTTAGGGACGTTTTTTAAGGAAACCTCCTTCCAGAAGTGCATTTATGAGGTCAGACACAAATGTTCGATGCAGAGGCTCGGCCCCCCATTTCAATTAATCCCAAAATGGCTTGATTGTGTTAAGGGCAAGACTCCAGTCAGTCAGACCAGCAAAAGCTAAGCTAAACTCAATATACATGATCCTAGCAGCTGTTTTGGTGAAGGTAAAATATTAAAAATATTCTTGGGTATACAGAAGTGTAAATAATAGGATGTAAAATGTTCTTTATTTTTGCCTTTTCAAGGTAAACTGGTGAAAGTCTGAGTGCAGGATGGCTGGCTGTGATGTTTGGTTTACCAAAAAAGGGGTGGTGGTCACCTAGAAAGGACTTGTTTAATTGTCAGAGTGTTTGTCGATTCCTGGACTCCATGCAAGCTTCAACTGCCTATAAATATATGATACAAGTTAATTCATTTTCAGGCATTAAACATAGTGAATGAATACACTAAAAGGTTAGTGATTTCACATGTTTAGGCAAATATTGCAGATCTATCACAACAGTTTTATGAGTATGTAAAAAAGCCACATCATGCAAAAGTTTGAAGACACAAATGTCGTTCAATAGTAATTTTACTGCGGCAAACGTTAATGATTTTTTTGGGATTTTGTGTGAAATAGCAACACAAAGAATCAGTCGCAATCAGTTTGTGTAAATGAACAAACGTCTGCTCATATTACACGTATAGGTAAAGATGAACATTTTCACTGTGACCGTTTCTTCGCCGTTTCAGGTTAAGTAAAGCATCCCCACTGCATGATGCTGCCAACACCATGCCTCACCTTGGGGATGATATGTTTAGGAAGAGCCCTCTGTCTCACAGGGTTCTGTTTGTTGGGCCAAAAGTCACCAAAAACTTCTTTGTGACCTTCTACATGCCCTGCA